GGCGCCCATGACTAGAGATCTAGGTTCACGGACTCAGAGCAGGGAATTCGGGCTTCTTAATCATCAATTGTTTTCGGGTTTGCGCTGCAGGATCGCATACTGCTGCCGATTTGGAGATTTGCCAGCGCTTTGGTGGTCTCGGGCCTGCGGGAGTTCGGTTGTGAGTTTGTGGCCCAAATTTGCCACGCAGGGCGGAACGTTGTAGCATTGTAGCGCCCCAGCACCCGCTGTGGGTGCGTCTGCTGGCGTCAAGAAGGGGCTGGTTTTCCAGGTGCGAGTCATCAAGGAGAGCAGTGGCTCGTCCGGACCTGATGACCCTGACTCCGGTGTCCTGGCTTAGCAGTTCCTGAGCCAGTGAGTGATGCAAGCACGGTTTGTTTGCGAGTGTGGAGGTCCAACGGCCGTCATACTGCTGTTAGCTGAGCACTGTTGTTGATTTTATCGCAGTTAGTTTGATTTCCCCGATATCACCTCGATGAGGTGTTTTGACATCCTGGGTATGTTAATTGTGTAGGGATGGCCTCATCCGATACCCATGAGGAAGATTCTGCACTTTCCAGTTAGGTCCGAAATTTGGACTGTTCTTTGTCTGGTGCTTTGATAGCCGACAACGGAATACAATTCTTTGTTTGCCGAGCATTCTCGTGCAGTGTCCATGTTCCTTCATATATTTAGCTTTGTTATGGGGGTGGGACAGCTTTCCGACTGCTGTTTGGATCCCACCCCTGTTTGGTGAGCGCATACTATGGGCTGCGCCCGCATTACGGACTCCATGCCGGAAATGAACCAAAAAAGGAGTAGTCGTCTGCGAATCACACCCGACCTCAGATTGTTCGCCCCCTCTAGAGCCTCGTTTTGGGCCCAGATTTGTCGGAGTCAGGAGTCGTGTGTTCAAGATCCAGCAATTACAGCTAAGGAGGTTGAGGGTTTGGTATGTGGTGTATGGCAGCTTTGTAGTGCTTTCCTGCTTCATGAAGTTCGGTTCCGAAGGTGGGCCCAAAGAGGGCCACAAAAGACGTATTGGAGTTCCTGGCTTTGGGCTTCCGGCCTGGAGGCCGCAAAGACAAGAGAAGTTGCAGGGTTTTAAACTGCATTCAGAATTCACATTGAAAACATATCTCGATGTAAAGGTCATTTTAAAATCTTTTTGATTGCTGAGACACGTCATCCAGGAAGAAGCGAAGCTCGTCCAGTGAAATTTCACCTGGGTTGCACGATGTCGCTGTGGTTGCAGGACTTCGGGCATTAACGAGGCTTAATTAAGGTTCAGAAGATTGAACCTTTGATTCTTTTCTAAACCTAAATTCGGACCTTAGCCCACATAATATGTCACGTAATATACTGACACAACCCAGGCTCCGTTGTGGTTGACATCCACAGCGTGGAAGAAAGCTTGGATCAGCGCGATGCACCTGAGCATCCGAAGCCCAAACTCTGAACACGAGCAGCGTGAGACCCTGCACTTTGAATCCTGAAACATCGTGTCGAGCCGAGCCTAGGTCTCTGTGAAAATAACCTCAGCAAGGCGCCAGCTAAAGGATGCTCTCATGGTTTTGCGAGGTTGAAAGTTACCTGTTATGGTGATTGCTGTTTCCAGCTTTTTCCATGCGAGCATGCCTCGTATTTACACAGCCGATCACTACCTCTGCCATGCTGTAAGACGTACCTCTCGTATTGAAGCCAACAGCAGAAAATTCAAGATGTGGATATGGAGCTAGAGCTTTCAGAGTCGACCAGTTTCATATGCTGGTGCAATTGAACGGCCTGAACCCTCCGAAACTCCATTAAACTCCCATGTCAAGCTGGGCAGCTCCTCCTTCTTGTCAACCTCCTGTGGACGAAAGGGTCACTATTGGGGTTCAGGGTTGTTGGGGTTTTCAGGCCAAGGATGAAGCACTGCTTTTGTGCGAAGCTGAGGTCATGTGCACGTTTTGGCTCGGTCAGCTACACATTCGCATCGGATGTACATACGCACGCAGCTGTATACACGTGCGCACACTGAAGAAGCGTCCACAGGGAACTGTCCTTCTGAATGATGTCAGAATGCTGCTTGTCGGCCGAGCGGAAGGCATTGTCAACGAAGACACCTCTTTTGGAGTGCTAGAGTTTAGAGCGCAAAGTTAAGAGTTAAAGACTTAACGTTGTTTTACCGGCTTTATGTGGGGAGTGGTGCTTCTTTGTGTTAGTTCGGCAGGTTGAAGTTGAGGGTTGAGGGGCTTGGGGGATGAAGGGCAGAATGGGTTCTCCGGTCTCTTCGTGGTTCGAAAAGTTGAAGCCGCCGTGCACATACATGCTCCGAAAGTCTCAGGACCCAGCATCTCTCCGGAAGACTAGCTGTCGAAGCGCCAACTTACACAAGTGTGAGAGGCCGGGCACAGATCAGACGTCATACTAATGTCAAATTTCCGCATCTGCAAAACCATCCGAAACCGAAAACTCCCAGCACCATCCCCGTGCCCAAAACCCACACCCTGAACCGCACGACCTAAACCAGAACGGAAGGTTTGCCGGCCCTGCTCGGTTGTTGTGTGGAAATGCACGCGAGGCTCTGTTTAACTACCTCCATCTTGGACAACAGAAGACAGCCGGAAATGAACAACATGGATTGAACATTTTCATGTTCAGGGGTCACAGGTTCACGGCGGGCTCAGGAATATTTCGGCGGCGGGGCGCAACCCGAAAAAGATAGATGCGCATTGGACTACTTCTGGGTGTGTGTTCAGACGCATGACAGCCTGTAGCCACTGCGCTTCGTGTGCTGTTCACGACTGTGTGCTGTTCGTGTGTTTTAAATCTCGAGGTTCAGAGATCTACCCACCAGAATCACCGCTTACTTGTATGGTTTCCGTTTTACGTCGGGTTTAGGGTTTAGGCTGACGGAAGCAGCTCAGAAACTGTCGTGTGGTTTTCAAACCCCCAGCAATCAATGGCAAAAAACCATCCTGCCTGTAATGACATTGAGGACGGCCAGCAGCGTGAATGAAATGTATATCAGAAGCCTCAGAAGAAGTGTAAGCGCACGGCTCGAGGTTCAAAGTCCGCATCTCATACAGTAGTCAGACCCTGGAAGTGATTGTGGCTCATCCGCTTCCTTTGTAGATGTGTTTCTGTGTGATTCTCGGCAGAGCTGGTACGAGTCCTTCAAGTATTCGCGGAACTGCTACTGTTGCTACTGTTGTTGACACAAGGATGGTGATTTTAAACTTTGCCCCTATCACATCAGCATGGTGCACACTGCGGGATATGCACTCATTCAACTGAACTTGGTGTTCCTAAACCCCAAACCCCAGACTGCCAATATGATGCTAGCTTTGCCGGTGACTGCGAGTTGCCACACAAGCACCACAAGGCTGATGTTGGCCATACTTTGGCCGTCGCGGACGCAATTCCGTGGCGACGATGATGATGATGATGATGACGATGCGTTTTCATGGCTACTCCCCTAATAACTAGCGACGGATTTCGGACGCTTGCAGACGCTTGCCATGTGAGCATTGAATTTCCAGCGTCAGTAGGGGAAGAAAAGCAAAAACACAACATTTCCCGACTCCGAACCGATGCGTTTTCATGGCTAATCCCCTGCTAGCGACGGATTTCGGACGCTTGCAGACGCTGGAGGGGAGAGTGGAGAGGGGAGGGGAAAGGGGAGAGGGGAGAGGGAGAGGGGAGAGGGGAGGGAGAGGGGAGAGGGGGAGGAGGAGAGAGGAGAAGAGAGAGGAGAGGAGAGAGAGGAGCAAGAGGGCAGAGAGAAGAGAGAGAGAGGAGAGGAGAGATGTCAGGCTGTTATGCATATTCTTGCGAGGCGTAACCGCATTCGGGTTCGTGGGTCCTATCAGGCTTTTTCTCATAGCAGGCATTGCAAACTTTTAACACAAGCACGCAGGACACAAAGACCACAAGCCAATTCCACGATGGCAGGGCAGGTTGTGTGCGGTTGCAAAGTTCAAGTTACTGAACGTTAAAACACGGGCGATTTCAAAGCACCAGCCGCCACGACAAACCCGAAAGGTTTGACAAAGGGTTTCGAAACAGCGAGGTACTGCTTTGGATTGGCAGTCGTCGTTTTTGCTAGCGAATGCCAGCAAAGTTTCGGACAAAACCATGCGATAAGCATGTCAGAACTGAGCATGCGCAGACACACTAGGTGGTGTAAGATTTCTTGGTTATTTTAATTCTTCCAGCGATCTGAGGCTTCTGTTTTAGATTGGTGTCGCGCAATTGAAAACTTTGGGAGGAATGTTGTATGGACTACTGGTCGACGTTTGGCATTCGTTGTGACGGAGTGCCAGTCACTGTAGTGTTGACTTAGTCACACAAATCTCCAGCACATGCACGTGCCGTATTGTTGCTTGTAAGGGTTGCAGGAAAGACCCGGTCGGATCGCCAGAGACAACTTCTGCAGCCGTCGAGCAAGAAACAAACAGCAACAGTTCGCAATTTCAGGAGGGGCCGCATAGACATGCTCAGTGCATAAACAACGTAGATGAATTTTGACAGAATTGATGCGTCTCCATTTTGAGCCGTGCAGACAGTATACAGATGTACATGTTGGAAAGAATATGCATGCTCGGCAAAAGCTTGGCCATAGTCCAATGTTGATGAAAGGATCGTAGCGGTGAGGCCGATGAAGGCGATCCACAGTGCATCCGCTCAGGAGCCGCAACCACCCTTCGGATTCAGAGCACCCAACGCTGCTCTTCAAAGCAAAAGTGCCATGAAGCCGGGCATTCCAGTGGGCATCCGCCAATGACCTGCCACGCCTAGGATCCCGATTCTTGCGCGCGACATGTGTCCAGAAAGCTGTGCTAGTGGTCTCCGTTCGCAAGTGAAGCACTAGCTGCTGGCTCTCAGCAATGTCAGCTTTGCATGTGCTTTCCGCCGCTAGCCATTTGGAGAGATCCTAAAAGCTTTTGGTTTCGGAACCACTCCGTCGCGAGCATGGCTATTCGCGGCCAGCCCGGAGCTTGGTCGAAGCGGGGAGGGTTGGCTGACTTTTTCAGGGATGTCAGGGCGTCACCACCACACTACCATGCTGAGGGTGACGCCCTTCGGGCCATACGGTGGCCTGACCTGGGACTTCCTGCGCCGGGACCGCGATGAGCGATGCGGGTTGGGGTTGGGGGAAGCGCAGTCTCATGTCATTTCGTGTCAGGATCGCCAAGAAGAGACTCCCGAGCGCCTGGAAGCCCTCGGAGCAGCGTCCGGTGCTGCGGACGTTGAGTATGAGCAGTTCATGAAAGCCAAAGAGGCCCGCCGAGGGGTCAAAGCTGCTGGGAAGATGCTAGGTCCTCTGGTCTCTGCTTCTGCAGGTGCAGAGGGCTATGTTCCAACAAGAGAACCTTAGATAGCCAATGGGAGAACTTTAAACTTTTTGGTTTATATATATATATATACATACTTAGTCTTTCCTTTTTAGTTTGAACTTTTTGGGAGTGGTCGGCTATCGTGCTGACCTTTTCCCTTGCACCGCCCCCCCACAAAAAAAAATCCCCACGAAGAGAGGAAAAAAAAACGAAGAGAGGAACAAAACCATCGTGCACCAGTGCGCGGACACGGACATCATCGAAGCCGCGCAGGGCTCGGTGGCGTGCATCGACGGCAATCAGGCAGCAGCTCACGTGGCCTATGCCCTCAGTGACTGTGCCTTCATCTACCCGATCACGCCATCCTCTCCCATGGGCGAGATGGTGGACGAATGGGCCGCGCAAGGCGGGTGAATGGATGGGTGAAGGGCAGGGTTTGGGCATTTGGGCCGTACTCCCCGTTGTCTGAGGCCTGATCAATTGCTACGGCCAAAAGCTCAGTGTGACGGAGATGCAGAGTGAGGCGGGCGCTGCTGGAGCCCTGCACGGAGCTCTCAAAGCCGGTGCCCTCAGCACCACCTTCACCGCCAGCCGCTGGGCCGAAACGGCCTAATGTAACCTTCCCCTTTGATTCACCTTTTGGTAAGTCTTGTGCCCTTCAAGGTCAGGGTCTGCTGCTGATGATCCCGAACATGTACAAGATTGCGGGCGAGTTGCTGCCCTGCGTGATGCATGTGGCCGCCCGGGCCTTGGCTGGTCAGGCGTTGTCGATCTTCGGTGACCACAGCGACGTGATGGCATGCCGGGCCACTGGCTGGGCCATGCTGGCTTCGGAGTCTGTCGAGATGGCGCAGGTAAACGGCCTTGTGGCGCACCTCGTGTCCATGGAGCGACGTGTTCCTGTGCAGCACTTCTTCGACGGTTTCCGCACCAGCCACGAGGTGAACAAGGTGAAACTCATCGATTACCAGACTATGAAATCCTTCATCAACTGGGATGCTATCAAAGAGCATCACGACTTGGCGCTGAATCCCAGGCACCCTCATGTGCAGGGAACTTCCCAGGGCCC